CTTACTGGCTAGGCTTAACATATTGTTCACCCCACATAATGTAAACTTTCATAAACACATTGAAAATATGTTTGTACAAGAAATAAAGTAGAGATCTAGAATATTCTTCGGTTTGGGTTTCATGGGCTTCACTTCATAGACGGGCTTTGATGCCCCTACAACACTTGGTCCGCAAGTTACACGTCTTGCTCTCCAAGTTATCTCCAATACTCCCCCGCACGATAAACGTGGTACGCAAAATCATCAAGCGAAACACGTATGTCGTGGGCAACTTGTCGAGGACGGACAAAACAAGTCAACAGATTCATCCGGGTATAACCTTCAATCTTCAAACTAGGGATGAAATTTCAACTTGTCTTTGGTCTTGATAAAGGGGAATACATCCCGTGGGCGCAATTGCAACTCCACAAACAATTGTCCTTATCTTGGACAGTCCATAAATCGGACTAAAAAAAAAAATTGACCTAAAGAACATGAGCGTTCCAACTAGAACTCTCTAAAACCACAATAAACTCCCCCGTAGTAGGAGAAACCAAAACATTGAGAAATTTTATAAACTCAATAATAAAATCTCAAAAAAATAGAAATAAAACATTGTGAAAACCCTGAACCCTAGACTTGATAATTTCTCAAATATCTGCCGACTATACTAATTGTGGTAAACCATACCACGAAAACTAAACTCTTAATTATTAAGAATACTAAAGAAACGTGTAACTAAATCAAACCATAACAAAACCCACTAACTTTTAATTAAAAAACCTTAACGAGAAAACAATAAAACCATTGAATTTGTAAAAGCACGTCACATGAACGGCTTCATGTCATCGTCTCCATCCGGTTCGTCATCTCCACCAACTTCGACGTTGTCTCCTCCCTTTATCACGACTCCCATAATCTCTTTTGAAAGTGAAATTATTGGGTTTCTAATGCGGAAGTTTTTAATTATGATCCACAAAGATTGTATGCTCTGATATCATGTCAAATATTATAGAATAGAATATTGTATTGAGTTGTTTTTGATACAAGATCATAAG